GAAGTAGGAATGATCTGAGCAGTAAAGTATGTGTAATTTTTTATCCTTTAACATTTTTCATAGCTTCCCCAAGTTGCACACATTTGCTTTTGTTTGGTAATGGGACATGAGAAGAAAAAAAGGGGCTCATCTGGCAACTGCCCATCTTGTCTGTTTTAGTCATTAATTAAATCTGGATGGACAAACCTGAAGAAAGTCAAGGCACTCCAGAATATTTTTGACTGAACCAATCATAAATATTGGAGACCACTCGACTTGGTTATACTCTACTCCTTCCTTCAACAATTCTCATTGCAACTTCCTATAGTGTTTACTTTTATTGGCCCCGGCTGAGTTAAAATTAGTCATCAGTATGGCTAAAATCCTAAATGAACATACTAGGAAGTGAGCCTGAATATAGTATGACTTACTGTAATGTCCTATAATGTTTTATCTATTACATCTTCATCCAACTAAAAAATTGAATTACTAATCCTTAATCCAACTAAAATTAGTCATCACTAAAACTGAAACTCCAAACATTTATAGACAGTAAGCTCCATTATATGCCATATGATTTTCATTTGAGCCACCGTGATTAAAATGTTGCTGCAAGTCTCACTAAAATTACAGTTACTCACAGCTATTGCTTTTAATGGGATGCATTCAAAATTAACTTTGGTTGAAGGAAAGGGACTTGCTGGTCAGTGTTGACAATACTGGAATAGATAGACATGCTTTGATTCAACACCAGGCAGTTTTCCAGGTGCTGTCTGCCAGGGTTCACTGTCTTCCATTCTCCGGCTTGTCTGCGACAAAATATTGGTAACCATGAAACAAGTTCCTAAAGTAAAAGACTTACAAAGTGCAGGCATCCCAACTAGAAGGAGACAGCAAAACAAACTCTTGTACATTTGCAGAATTCAACCCAGTTGCAAAAGAAGCGTTTCTGACTGGGCAATGGTTGACAATTTGAGACTTGCACACTTCCATTAGGGATGGCAGATGTAGTATTTCACGCCACTCATATAATATTTAAAGAGAGATCATGGTGAGTTCTTCAGCTGCAGCGTTAGTCTATTTTGACCTGGCAAATATTAAAGTTGGGACAGTAGGCAATCTGCCTCCACCTTTACCATGCTGGTTGAAGTATGGAATACAGTACTGTACAGTATATGTTAAACGCCCATCCTTTGCCTTAAAAAAAAGAAGAAATATCAAAGTAGCAAAACTGATCTGAAAATGGTTCTGTATGCATGTGCTACAGTGGCATAATAGGAACCAGCCGACTAGCGCCACCCACAGGTAGCTTTTGTTACAAGTTTGCAGAATTGGTGGTTGCTGTTTGCTCCAGCTTGTCTCTAGGGTAGAAAAGGCAAACACTTTGTCCTGAACAAAGTGAGGATCCTTTCAAATTGGATTCTCTGTTCTACAGCTACTGCATCTGTCTTTGTACTAAACAGCAGGGATGGGGAAACCTGTGACTCTTCAGGTATTACCAATCTCCACCTTCCGAGTTGGCAGATTTCAGGGCACTTGCTAAAGTCTCAGTGAATTGCCATGCTTCTGTGGGTCGGCAGGTAGGTACACTAATCTCAGGGCAAACAATGCTGGAATAGGAAGAGCTTGATTTTTGTCCATGTGGAGTCTTTAATGCTTAGGCACTCCTCTTCACCCATTCCGAAATGGCACTGGGGCTCACTGACCCAGTCCCAAGGACTGAGTTCTGCTTGCCTCCCTCATGCGTTTTATCTACCTGCCTCTTTGATACATTATATTGAACACTCCTGATGACATTGCAAGATCCCACCTCTTGCTCTCAGATTTTATCCCGGAAACTGCAGGAAATGGGAAGCTGGCCTGGCAACCCCAGTCAGAGAAGATGGGGAATTGTAGGCCAACAACATCTGCAAGTCCATGTGTTCTGAAAAAGCTTCCTTGCATCCCCCCCCCCTTCAAAGAAGGAAGGAGCAAATCAGATCTGTGTACTGCCTATTGGTTGGATGGTAAATTTACTCTCTGGGCTTGTCCAAATGAAAAAAAAGCTGCACAAGTAGGGGGAAAAAGTCATTTTGAGCATATCCTCCTGATGTGTATAGGAGTTCAAAACGCTGAAGCTACATTTGGGCTTGCCATTTCATTGCAAAAGAAGCTTATGAGACTTTCCTGCTGTGCAGGTCAGTCCTCCTCAACAAACAATAATATAATAATAACAATTGTGTGCCATCAAGTCTATTCTGGCTTATGGCGACCCTTTCCAAGGTTGTCCAGGTAGAGAGTACTCAGAAGTGGTTTACCATTCCCTTCTTCTGGGGGTGCCCTGGCAGTGGGCAGCTTGCCCAAGGCCACACAGACTAGTTCTACTTTCAGGAGGCACAGTGGGGAATTGAACTCCCAACTCACTGAGCTATCCAGCCAGCTACTACCGATAATGGCACTTTAAAATTCACTACCACCAGCAGATATCGCACGGTAGCACTGTCTCTGCTGAAACTAAAGTGTTTTATATGTTTGATTGTTCATCAATAAATGAAAATTAATGTTTGTACCCTGGGACAGGATGGGGCATTTCACATCTACAGGAAGGAAACCACTGCAGCAGAAGGAAGACATTTGCCCTGTGTGTGTGTACATGAACGTGAATATGTATGTGTATATGTGTATGCCTTAGGGCTAATTATCATCTGGGTAAAAACAAAGAACAGGAATCAGAAGCAGGAATGGAAGACAAAAGAAAAATCTTAGTTTGCATAGATCAGAATGGTCACTCACTTGCCTTTTTAATTTCAGAGTGACCCAAGAATTCTATCAGGTGGTCAGATTTGGCTTAAAGACTCTAGGTTAACATCTTTGAAACTGGTTAGAAAAACTTGTTCTTTATGACTACAGATGCCAGAATCTCCCAGCCAGTGTGGACACTGGCCATGTTAGCTGGAGGATTGTGGTCCAAATAAAGTAACTTTTCTCAGAAACACAGAGAAAGAAAATGTCACCACTGGCCTTTCAAGATGACTTCATACAGTAGACTTTGCATGGCCTGATTCTAGTGCAGGAGATACTCAGGAAATCCCCTAGAGTGGCCAGAGCAGATGGTCTCTGGAAATTTATGAAGAGGGGGTGAAGGTTACACTAATCTCTTCTGAGCTGCCCCCCCCCCATGATGACATGGTGAAAGATCTTTCTCTTTCCAACACTTTGGAGGGGTGAAGGTTACACTAATCTCTTCTGAGTTGCCCACCCACCCCATGATAACATGGTGAAAGATCTCTTTCTCTTTCCAACACTTTGGCGAAATATTGCCACTCAGAACAGATAGTACTCTACGAAATGAAGAAGTGGTAGACTCAAAGAGTATTAGTTTTAGCAACACACAGTTACCATTTGGCTGGGAGAAGAGCATCTAGAAATGCCACAACACTAGATGGGGTGGAACTGTTGGAACCTCGTGGCTTTAGGTCAGAGCCTGAAAAGGTTATTTATGGGGAATATAGTTCCTAGAATTCCATAGCCTGCTGGGGGACTCTGGAAGTTGTAGTCCAAATGTAACTTTCCCAAGCTATTGCTGTTCTCTTTTATGCGTCTACTAGGTTGTAGAGCTAGAAGTGCATTTCACCGCTGATGTTCCAAGATTTAAGATAATTAAAGGAGGCACAGAAAGACTTACGTGATTTTTAAAAGGCAGTATTTGTGTGTCCTCTTTAATAGATGGTTGTCTGGCTATCTAAAACGGATTTTTGATCTTTCCCCTAACTTGTGTAAAATTGGAATGGGCAATGTGCAGACTTCCAGTTGCTGCTGGACCTCAAACCTGAGCATTTCTTCCTGTCTGCTGTGTTGGTGAAGTCACCCATATTTACTGATACTGATTTCAAGAAGTGCCTCCCATTCTTTGGATTACAACTCCCAGATTCTGACAGCAAGCATCTTCCCATTCATCGCTGCTCTTAAATAACATTATTTTAATGGTTCTGTTTCTTCAATAGTAACTGAATGACTGCTCTGGAGAAACCCTCCAACCCGTAATATCTCTTCAAACAACAGAAACAAAGCTTCACAAGTGAAAAAGAAAAAAAATTAAATTCCCAAATGATGCTCTGTGTCCACTTGTCAAAAGATAAGTATAGCCAAATGGGTACTCAAGCAACATCCTCACATTCCTGTGACAGGATCAGAGACTCTTGTGACTTTAAACAGACAGTAAGCATCTCCTTTGAAGAAGCCTCCGGTAGGTGGCTTTTATTCATGCTTCGCATTTGGCTGAATGTCATAGCTGGGCAAGGAAATAATTCCTCTTGTCCCTTCAGGTCAAACTTCTACTGCTGCAGAAGAGGTTTCCTCGTGGCTTTCACACTTTATAGGGCTCCAATTCTAGCCCTCGGGACACTGTGTGGTTTGGCTTGTGGGAGCTGATGTCCCATCTCGTGGGGAATTGATTCTCAAAAAATCTGGGCTGGATACAGGAGATATCACTCCAGAACTGTGTTTTGACAAGGTGATCCCAAAGAAACAGGGTCAAAGTCATTCTCAGGTTTTGATCCTCCAGATGTTTTAGCCTTGCAGTTCCCAAAACCACTGACAAATTTGTTACAGTGGTAAAGGTAAAGGTTTCCCTTGACAATTTGTCCAGTCGTGTCTGACTCTAGGGGGCAGTGCTCATCTCTGTTTCCAACCCATAGAGCTAGTGTTTGTCCGAAAACAATCTTCTGTGGTCACGTGGCCAGCGCGACTAGACACGGAACGCCGTTACCTTCCCACTGTGGTGGTACCTATTTATCTACTCGCATTTTTTGCATTCTGCATGCTTTCGAACCGTTAGGTTGGCGGGAGCTGGGACAAGCAACAGGGGCTCACTCCGTCACATGGATTCGATCTTATGACTGCAGGTCTTCTGACCCTGCAGCATAGCGGCTTCTGTGGTTTCACCCGCAGTGCCACCACGTCCCTCTGTTGCGATGGCGATCTTATGACTGCAGGTCTTCTGACCTGCAGCATAGCGGCTTCTGTGGTTTAACCTCCAGCGCCACCACGTCCCTCTGTTGCGATGATAGAGGCTTAAAATCCAGAACATCTGAAGGACCAAACACTTATAAGTAACCACTGCTCTATAACAATAACGAATGACACAGCCAAAAAGTGAAATCCAAGTAGCCCAAGCACTTTAGCAAGATCTGTTACTTTAAATACACCTTGGCATTCATCCTTCAAACAAAAGACATTAACCCATAAATGCTGTCTCCAGTCTTCCTTCCACATAGAGAATGTCTGCTAAGACCCTACTTCAGGGCTATTTCATACTGACCACACTAATATAAATGTGCAAAAAGCCAATGAGGAAAGAACACTAAAGGTCATGTGAAAGACATTCATGTCTCACTAGTGTGGATTCACTACTTCGTCAGGAACTCTTGTCATCCTTCCCTTCATACTGGATGTTGGTCACCAGAAACAAGGCTGTCATGTGTGTGACACAAAAAAGAGTACTATGTAATGTAAGAATAGCTACAGAACCTGAAAAAAACCCTAGCTTCAGCTTCTTCTTTACAATGACAACACATGGAAAAGTTACTTGTTTTGAACTACAGCTTCCAAAATCCCTGAACCAGCATGGCTGGAAGATTTGGGGCTGTGGTTTGACAAAGTAGCTTATGCAATCTAAATCTCCTTGTTTTTGCAAATCTGCATATAAAATGATTTTTAAAAAAAGGTGTTAAAAGCCACAATTCTGCCCCCACTCCTGTGCTATCTATTTAACATAATTTCCCTGTTTTTAACACACCTGACACCTTCCACAGAAGGAAACAGAATCTGGGATTTCCAGATCCTAAACTTTAAAATACTTTGGCTGCTTTGAAAACTAACATGTATCGTTTGGTTTTTTATGGAATTTAACATTAAGGCTCAAAACCGAGAGGCAGTTAAATCTTGATACTTTTTCCCTCTGATTTTTTAAAAACTTCAATGGGAAATGAACACCATGATTTTTTCCTCTCTCTCAACTTGAAGAACAATTTCAGTTCCTATTAAAGAGATTTTTTTTTACCTCTCTTCAAAGGAATAAAATCAAGTGTTAAAATCCATCGAGATATGAAAAGTTCAGGGCCACAGTAGATGTAATGTGGGAATTCCATGACTAGAATTCATGTTATCGTTTTTACCGTATAGAAGCAGTAATTCAGGGAAAGTGACGAAGGTATCTGGGTCAGAACCACAGCACTGAGGGAAAAGGTTATTCCCTTCGCCGTTTGTATCAAAATTTAGTGACTGCAAAATGCTTTTTACAAAACGAAAGATACAGGGAGTTGAATTCCTTATGCCACATCTAGCCTTATGACCCTCAGGGCCAAAATATACATTGGAGATAACTTGTAAATACAGCTGGAATCACATTAGTGTTCAAGAGACATGTTTGAGGGCAGTCTTTCATGTCTGAAGAATCAGACCTAGGCAGGAAAAATGTACTTACCTCCCAATGACCAATCACGAAACAAAGCAAGCTAATTTGCAAGTTATGGAAAGAGAGAAAAGCTTCTGCTATGACAATCACATACACTTATCTGCACTTAGGAATTCCCTCTTCTAGTGATAGATTATCAGCAACATACAGTTGGGCCCACACTTACCAACCCATAATTCTCTGTTGCTGGAACTCACATGGCTTCTGGATCATAATTATTCTGTGCAAAATGGCACTTTCAAGGATCCAACCTTCAAATTACCCCCAAAGTTTTGGACATCCTCCTCTATTCCAGATTCTCTGGATAACTGGGATTGTGCTTCTGGATGCATGATAGGAAACCTGGCACATTGTGGGATTGTCAGAAGTTAATAAGGACAACTTCAGAGGAAGTGGGGGAGGACACTGTCCTAATCCAGTGAATGATGCAGGGAGAAAGGCCAAACAAAAGAAAGACTGATGCTTAAAACAGTAGAAAGATTCTGATTTGCCTCTGCTCAGCACACAGCCTCTTAAGTCATTTTCCCTCCCCAGTTTCCCTGCTTCATCTTCACCCTCTTGGTTAATGGACGGAACTGAAAATCCCGCCACGCTCTCTAGTAGGGAGCAAAGACGATGGGGCCCGTAGCTGCTCGCATGGGGCCTGGTGGGGTTCGGAAAAGCGCTGGTCCAAAGAGAGGAGCTTGAAAGAGGGTAGCCGCAGCTGGTCGGAGTGTAAGCGGGCTGGGCAGGGCGCACACGGTGGCTGGGGTGAGGGGGCTTGGCAGGAACCGCGCTGCCAGGGTCTTTGTAAGGTGCTTCTGAAGAGCCAGTTTGGACTGCGGAGGAGAGAAGATGATGTGGGGAAAAGAAAGAGAGAGAGAAAAAGAGAGAAAGAAATACCACATGAGACAATCAACAGCGAAAGGAGAGGGAAACACAGACAGCCCTGAATTTAATCCTCCAAGTAATTAATTTAAAACCTGGGTCCATTAATTCTTTGGGAAGGTAAGAGCAGCCCTTGCCATGACATTTACACATTATCAGCTCTTGAGGATTTTTCTCTTCCAATGAGAAAGTGTCTATAGGTCAAAATCCTGTTGAGTAACATAATCAAAACCAGAAATGTTGGCCCATTCCTTGGCAGTAAATCCTGCTGAGATTCTTGGGGGCAAAGGTGAAGGCTGGTTTGGTGTGTGACCCCCCCAAGGATCACAGCAGGGGCTCTTTGTTTACTGGCAAGGGGTAGACTGAAACTTCTGACTGTGCTTAAATTACTCAACATGATTGCATCCCTAATGTCTGTTTCTGCCCTCAAGCAAAGCTGATCAACAGTATTTCTCCCCTTAGAAATGAAATATTCCCAAACTTAGTAAGAAGGTGAAAATTTCAGCTCAGTCTTCTTGTCCCCCTTCACAATGTGCTCCCTTTGAAGGCAGAATATCCTTATTTACTCATGCTCTGATTTCCCTCCATTTAGATGACCAAGTAAGTTTCATTTCAGCTGTCTTTGAATATGAACTAGAGTCTGCACGTGGTTCAAAACAGAGGGTTGAGAGACTGCTAGCTGGGATTAGGCATTTTGCTTATATTGCACTGTTGTCTTATCAGCTACACTGGTCCTGTTTCTTTTCTCCACCCAGTTCAAAGTGATGTATTTGCCCTTTAAAGCCTTTAATGACTTGGGAGCAGGGTACCAGAAGGACCTCTTCTCTCACATTTATCTACTTGAACCTAAACTTTCCTCTTCAGAGGCCCAGTTTTTGTGACACGATGCAGATGGCTACCAGGGGACAGAGATTTCTCAGTGTTGGCATCCAGCTGCTGGGATACCTTCCACTGATCAATGTACTTATAGTCTATCTACAGGGACATATAGCCTACTATGGGTCATGTCAGCACTACTTGAATTCTCTTTCTTTTAATATCCCCAGACTCTTAAAAATCTGTGATTTTGGCATTTCAAAACTAATTTCAATGCTGCACATTTTAGTGATACTCTAAAACTAGTTATAATGACCGCCGTTGGATTTTTGTATGTTCGAGCTTTTGTTAGAATATTGAACTTTAGTATGGTGTTTTATTATTGAACAGTCTGAGGCAAGTAGACAACACAAAAAAATCCTCATCCAATAATTCTTCTCTCAGCATGAACAATTCAAAAGATGTGGATTCCGTCTGCCTTTCTACAATCTCATTTCTAACATTTGATTTTAAAAATTAACTATACAAAAATTAAGGCAGTTAGTCTTAAACATCTGAGAGCTGACACACTTGTTTAAGATTCAAAATTGGAGGCAGACTTCATGGTCATACTGGATTTTTTTTAAAAAAATTAGGATGATATTTATAAACATTATCAGTTGGGTTTCTGCATAGGTTACTACTCTAGGAGGAGACAGTGACTGAGGCAGAGACACAGTAGATAGCCTCTCATCAAGGCAGATCATTCTGCTGTATCTTCCAAATGAATGATCCAATCACTGTTGAGGGGGGAAGGGAAATTCTGTTTTGCAACATATTTGGACAGCAACAGGCTGAGAAAAGCTGTCCTAAATAAATTATATATTGCAAGAAGACCTAGAAAAGGGAAAGAGAGCACTCTTTGAAGCATCTTGATCTGTTATGCTCTACAATGAAGCTATTCTTCTCCCCTCTTACATAAACTATTTTAATTTCAAAACACTGTTGCCAACAACCCCTGCAGCCTTGTCCTGGAATGAGATTGGTCCGTGTCCAGGCTCAATCCTCAACACACCCACAAGACTGGCTGAGCGCCGGCGAGGAAATCAGGAGCCAAAGGGAACTCCCAACCCCACTGTCCCTCTGTATAATATTTCCAGTTGGTCATGCCATGGTGGGGACCTTCAGTGACAAGTACCTTGAGAACACTCACTGCCAGAGCTGTATTCTTCTGCAGCTTGCTGTATGGACTGTATTTGGGCTTAGGCGGCTTCCCTGCAAGCCTATCCTTGTGCCGCCTGCTGCTCATGTGCTGTGAGACAGAGTTAGAGAAACAAAAATGCCAAATATGTTACTGATTAAATAGAAGGGCTAGATATTTTCCCTAAAGGGCCAACAAGTTTAGGAGCGGATGGAAGATGGTAGTGGGAACCACTGAATGTCTACTAGTGATTGGATATTGATTTTTGGTAGATCTTGGTGTGATCCAAGAAAGCAATCCTTTATGTTTTTAAACCAGAGTGTATACTTTACCCTTTTAAGTATACACTTAAGAAATCACCTCCCAAATCCTTTTTAAAAGTAATGCTTTAGAGCAGTGGTTCCAAATTATGGGTCCCCCAATGTTCTTGGACTAAAACTCCCAGAAACCTTCACCACTAGCTGTGGTGGCCAGGATTTATGGATGTTGTGGGCCAAGAACATCTGGAGACCCAAGGTTGCAAACCACTGCTTTAGAAAAAAACAAATAAACATTATTACTTGCACTTTAAAAGTAAAAATGTTACCAGTTGTTATATTGCTTTTTTAAAAAATACAGTTGTTACTTCCTTGCTACCTCAGAAAATGTCATGCTTCTAAATTCTGATACAAACTTGTTAAACTGGACAAAACTTTATCTTCCAACAATTTATAATGTAATTTGTCTAGGAACAAGATTTCATCTCTAATATCAGCAGGCAGTGTTACAGATAACCCAGATGAGGATGGGCTCTTTTGCCCAGCTGAAGCCCTACTGTGCTTTAAAATAGGCTGCTCTGGGTGCCATTTTAAAGTGCATTAGGGCATACACTTCTCTCAAAATGAGGACAAATTTAACCAACCCCTAATTAATGCTAACACTCTACTTACCTGGTTGAGCTGGGTTTCTGAGTTGACAAAGATCTCGCACACCTGGCACTGGAAAGCCTTGTTTTGGATACTAAGGCTCCCTTTGCTGCCAATCCGTTTGGGCTTGTGGCCTGTGCGAGAGAGGACCTTCCCTCTGCCTCGCCTTGGCAAAATGGCCTGGCCTTCCAGCATGGACTTGTGCTTTGCTCCTGGGAAAGCAAGAGGAAAGAAATTTCAGAACAGGGGGAGGAACTATGCTGCCGGTTGACCCTACCCTGTTCCCCAAAGAACATCTGTATGGCTGCCAAGACCCTCACAGATCCTCCTAAACTTAGAAAAAGAAAAATATGTTTTTAAAGGGGTGTAGGGAGCAAGAATAGAGAGTGTCCTGCCTCCAGTAGTGACCAGAGGGCACTGTTCTGGCTTAGAGCAAGACTGCCTTCCTCCATAGTTTGTTTGGACCAGAGAAAAGAAGGACAAGAAAAACCAGAAGTGAACTCCCAGTCACATTTGGTTTCCACATAAGAGACATGTATGGCCCAGCCCATGGTATTCTGGGGTGGAAAATGGAGTAGGTACCACTCGAGACCTTCAATGGCTGCCCAGTCCTGCTTCAGAATGAATGATAACTCAGTTCTTGCACCTTCTACCCGAGAGGCATTCTGATCCAAGACTGATGCATAACCATGTGGTCACTGAGATGGTGAAGAGTCCAGGATGTGAGAATGAAGATGGCTGTAAGGGAAATTTCTCCTTATGCATGCTGTAAAGGGAAATGCTAGCCTTGGCCAAACAATTCCTTGAGCAGACCTATCCAAAAGTGGAACAGGCCTATCAAAAAGGCACAGCCAAATTCCAGATAAATCAACATGTGTTTATTTTTCACTATCCTTGTTATTGCAATTCCCTGTTCTGCAATAAGACATTTTTAAAAATGATCGCTTAAAAACAAAGGGTGCAAGCAAAGCTCCTTGCCACTTGTTATTCCTCTGAAATAAAGTTCTGCATAGGATTTAAAAACAACAGTAGCATAATACTTCTCTTTGGATCCATTAAAAATCACAAAGAGACAAGAAAGCTTTCAAGTTCATCAAAATTGTTCATTAGGCTCAACAAAAAAGGGGACAAGGAGAAACATACATTGACGAACAAGATGAAAAGCCTATGTTTGCAGTGTGGAATAGTTTAAGATGGAATCAAGGAAGTGTCACAGAGACTTAAGTTTGCTCTGAAAAGATCTTACATTATACCATAGGCTACAGGGCAAAAGAAACACAGCTACTCTTTCTTTGATTCAAAATATAAGAGGTACATATTTTCTCTTCAAGGCATTGTAGCATTGGAAATTTTGAAATATTCAATCACTGTCCTTGAAGCTAAGCCCACAAAATGCCCACCCATATCTACCCAGGAGGTGATTTGTGGCATAAAATATGTTTGTGGTCAGGTTTCCCTATTTCATCATCTGGTGGCAACGCTTACCCACCGTAGCCAACCTACTGAGCAAGTGTTTTGAAATGTGGCAAGCAGCACAGGCAAAAAGACCCCCAGGAAGCACTGCTGCAGCTTCTGACCAGGAAGGATTGGGGCAGGAAATGAAGGGTTAGAAAAAGGCCTAGAATCAATCATTAGCCTTTCTCCAGGTGAGTGAAATGATCGGGTCTGTAGCTGTCTGTTTATGGGCTGGAACTTTCAGGATTCTGTCTGGGGAATTCTTGGAGAATTCTGGGATTTGGAATTGAGAAAAACTTGAACAGCACATCCCTCCCCACTGAGCTTCAAAGATATTCATGTTTATTACATCAGTGCTCACCATACTTTGAGCCTTTACCTGGAGCTTTTCTTGGACACAGACTTTTAAAGATTCCTTACCAGAATTATGTGCTTCCAGCTGAGAGGCAGAGTTGACCGTCACCTTGCAAGTAGGACAGTACAAGTGCTGCTTATTTTTCTTCCCTTCTTTCTCTGAGTCTCGTGCTGGGCTGATGTTTTGGCTTGATTCAGTGGCTGGAGTTTCAGCTCCAGCTGCTACAGATGATGATGCCACACTCGTTGTGTCTGGAGCACTTTCTGATGGCTCTGAAACTGGTGGGGAGACCAGGGGCAGGATGCCACTGGTGAGCTTGGTGGACGACTCTTCTGCTGGGGCCACGATCATGAGGCTGCAGTTGTCTGCTGGGGGCTGGCTCAATCCCAACAGACCACTGGGTTGTGCTAACAGAAGAAGAAAACATCAGCTTTCGTTCCTGCTGCTTCTGCAGATTCACAAAGTCTTAGAAAGATCACAGGCAACCAAAACTGAAATTAATTGTTTCACTCTCCTGGGGTAAAGGATGTAAACTGTGTGCACCTTATTGACTTTCTTGGCTTACAAATGATGTAGCTGTTATTCTATAGTTTCGTCTGTAGACTGATGGATTGGCGGATGGATTCTGGAAACTGTGTCCAAAAAGCAGCCATGTCAAGCTTTGTTCTACTCTCTATGAACAATCTGTGTGGCTGGTAATAGGCAACCAGGTACCAGCTAGGTAGGTAGTCAAACAAAGGAGCAGTTCAGTGATGGCAGTCTCTGCAGTAGCCTTCCCAACCTGGTGCCCACCCAATATTGCTGGGGTTCAACTCTCATAATCTCAACAGCACAGGATAAGACTCATCTATACTTAAGCAACAAATGTTCAGACTGAGAAGACAGGTTAAAGCTAGTAACTTCTTAAATAATTAAAAAACGTTGGTCTCTGAAATAACCTGACTATTGAGTATTGCAACACCATATTCTGGATGTTCCACATATGTGGCACTGCAACACAGCAACAATGAGGGTGAAGGCAGTAATGCACCAGGGTCACAATAACAGTTAAGACCCTTTAACTGTTTACAGCAGATGTGAGTGAATTCCTGAGACCCACTGGCTGTTCAGGATCACCCCTAGAACTGCTCTTATGCCTCTGGCATCTCTAAAAATTATAACACTCAGTTTTGAAGAAGGACCCCCAAGGTGTAAAAATCTTGGGGACAAATAGAAACATGGCAGTATCACCCTCTTCTCTCTTTTAGGAAGAAGGACAAATATAAAACGGGGATGTTAGGGCCCGGATATACCACAATACTTTGCCCACTCCTACTTTAAAGGTTTAATAAACCCTTTAATTGGTGTTTTATTCTCAATGACAGTCAAGGGTGGTGCAAGAGGAAGAATAAATACTCCTCCCTTGACCTTATCAATTAATGATGAGGAAATTAGCTAAGAGGTCTTTGGTATTCTCTTCTCCCACAGCATTGCTGTCCATCACAAAACAGAAAAAAAAGCTATATTTTATCTAGGAATGCCCTCTGCATGTCAACTAGTTTCATTACAATTGTTCTTGGCATTAAGAAGGTTCTTTTCCTAATGTTCAACAGAACTCTACATGCTTTCAAATTAAGTCCACTTGGTCTAACCCTCCCTCTAGTCCAGGTGAGAAAGAGGGTTCTCTCTTTCTATTATGCAACAGCCCTTTTGATATTTGCAGAGTGCTATCATTCCCCCATTACCCTTCTCTTTGCTGGGCTAAACATATCTTGTTCATTCATCATTAAAAGCAGGACCTTAGCGGATAAAAGACGTTTTGCACAAATGCTTCTCCTGCCCTGTTGAAAATTAGCTTGTTTTTGTTCAGAGACCTGGCCGAATAGCTCATTGGTTTAGTTATTTGACTGTGCAGCCAGAGTTCAGGAGTTTAATTCTGTACTGTGCCTCCTATGAATAGAGTCAGCCTGTGTAGCCTCAGGCAAGTTGCTTAGCCCCAGAGCATCCCCAGAAGAAGGTAATGTAAACAGAAGAAGAAGCACTGAAAACCAATGTGATGAAAACTAAGATTCAAGGTATTAACTCTGACAGCAAATGTGTCACACCTCATCTGTAAATGTCCAAAGATTGCACAAACAGATTACAAAATTAGGCATGATAGAGTGGCAAAATTAGTATCCTGTCATTATGCAAAAAATATAAATTGCTAGTATCCAAAAATCCATGGGAACATCAGGTACAGGAGGTGTCAGAAAATGATGAAGTCAAGATCTTGTTGGATTTCCTTATCAAAACTGATATACACCTTGAACATAACACACTGGACATACTGTAGTCAAGATAGAATGAAGAAATGGCTGAACCATTGACATTGTAGTTCCAGGAGATGCCAGATTTGAAAATAAAAAATTGAAAAAACTAACAAAATACAGAGATCTGGCAACTGAAGCATTTCACTTGAAGATGAAACATGTTTCAGTGGTCCCTGTAGTAAAAAGGGCTTTGGGAACAATATCAAGAAACTTCACACAGTATTATAAGCAGTTGAAGATGTCAGAAATAAGACCATCAGAGCTACGAAAAATAGCAATATTAGGAACAGCATACATACTGTTCCAATATTTAACAGATACAAGTTTAACAAAAAACGTAAGTATCTGTTATATGATACTACATAGTACTATAGCAATATTAGGAACAGCATACATACAGATACAAGTTTAACCAAAAACGTAAGTATCGGTTATATGATACTACATAGTATATGTTTTTATAATTTTGATTGACTGTGTCTTGCATTTTTGAATAAAATTAAATGCTTCTTTTGTGATTATTTATGGGAGATAAGCACAACCTTCAATTGCAAGTTGACTGCTTAGGCTTGGAACTCTTGAAGAATTATATCCCTGGTGGAAAAAAATTTCCAATGAAATGCTAATTGCATTTTACCCGAATATCTCCTGTTCTGTTGGCCTTTCCTCGGAGGACTTGTTTCCCATAACCCCAGCCATTTTTGCTGCTCTCCTACAAACCCAATCCAGTTTCTCTGTACTGAGGGGGATAAAGCTCTTTTTGGACAGCCGGTGTGGCGAATAGCCAAAGGTAACCAATGCTGGATCTTGCAGTCCCAACATCATCTGGAGGGCCTCATTTTGCCCATCCTTGGTTTTTACCTTCTCAACACAAAGTGCCCCAAACTGGACACAGTGCTCTGAATAAGACCTGGTATCACTGTTTCTTCTTCCAGCTTCCATTTAAAATAGCAGCTGCAAGAAGGACCAATCTATATTTAAACTGCAAGGGCAAAGAGACACGTCTTTTACCTTGTCCCTAAACTATTTCCCCAATAAAATCTATTTGTAACTTGGAAAGGCAGCCTCAAACTCTAATAAACACAGGCAAACAGGTCTGTGCAACAGCAAAATGGCATGAGAGGAAAGGATTTAATCCCCCATGGCCTTAATCCAGAAAGGGAGAAAAATATGGAAATGTGGTGTTTAACGTCATGAGTAGTATGACTGCAGAGCAATCAAAGCACTAAGTCAAAGCACTCTCCTCCAGCACCTGCAAAATGCTGCAAGATGGACCAAGCCCAGGTTTCAAATGGAATGAATTTCCCAGACCTGACAGCCCTCCTCTGCCCTGAGAGTGCCTCTTCACAGGCGAGATCTTAGGGACTTTGCCACCACTAACCTATGTTGTTGCTGCTGGTGTCTCCACTGAGATCAAGTGCTGTGTCATTGTCAGCTGGTTTCTCTTGGCTGCTGCTACTGTCAGTCGTCTTGTGCTTATTTTTCACTGCTTCAATGGCTTTGAGTCTCCGGGCATGCTTGTGTCCTCTGTAATGTGCCTCGGCTTGATTCTGCAAGAAAATACAGGTATTGGCTGACTGAATGAGGAAGGCAAGAGTGCTATGAAGGCCAGTGTACATTTTGGAAGTAAAGCAAAGACGATAACAAAAGAAGGTGTTTTAAATCCACCTTTGCTGGTGGCGCAGTACTTTGAAGCTCAGGAGCTCTTCCTGCTGTGGAGACAGATCTTTCTCTGTTAGCATGGGGTCCCTTGTCTGCCACATTTCTTCCAGGATATTGGAGAATATTATAGCAAAACGAATGTAGGGTTTCACACAAACCCCCTCCAGGGCCGTAACTATGGTGGAGCACCTGAAGGCCGGGGCTTCCAAATTTAGTGGACACCCAAGACAAATGATGAAATCTACTGACAAATGCAAGGAAAACAAATGGCAACACCTCCTGGCCCTATTCCTTCTCCTGTGGAGGTGGCGGTCTTCCGTATTCTCTCCTTTTTCTTGGAGGGCCCACGCTTCAGGGCAGAATGGGTGGGACATAGTGCCAATTGCCCTGGCTAGCCAAACTCTCAGTTCCGACTCCAGCCTCCTCCCACTGCTGGTTTCATTTATCAGATAGACTAGAAGGAGAAATCAGACAAAAACCAATGGTAAATTGGGAGTGGTTTTAGCAAGGCTTTTATCATGCCACCATGTCCCAGTCAATGAATTTTATGGGGTTTTCAAATAATGCCCTCTTCCACTTGCAATGCTCCTTCACCAGTTCTGTCTTTTTGCCTACTGTGAAAAATCTGTTGAGGACTGAAAGACTGCAGAGTGACACAGGGGTTTCTAACGGCTTGCGTGAGGGGCTGCCTTGAGCATTCTGACCTACACTTGCTTTTTAAGAGCATAGGGAATAAATAACAGTATTAGGGAGTCTTCCCATGAACTGAACATATTCCTGAGCAGGCAGGGAGAAGAATACTGGGAAGTGAAGGGAGGGTGTCTCTATGCCTTCCCCGTTGTACACACAGATAGTTGACAATTCCTTCCCCCAAACATCATGCAGATAAAGACAAAACTCTGCATAACATCCTTATTTTAATTCAGATTGGATTTAACTTTCCACAAATTTGCCGCAGAGCCGTTCGCTCTAGTGACAGTGGAGAGAATTGTCTCTGACTGCTAAGTACACAAGCGTTGGGAGCGGGGACACCCTGTAATCTTTTGTGGGTTTTTTTTCTTTTAAATTATCAGCATCAAACAGGCAGGAGACGTTAGCACACACTTCACTTATTCATCCTTCTCATTGAAAGGATAATGGGGAAGGATAAAGGAAAGGGTATACTATTACGTGCGCGCGCGCACACACACACAAGAGACACAGGCCAGCCAGCCTGCAAACATACACTCCATGTTAGACATGCATCTGAGGAAGTGACAGTTGTTGACAGGTATGCCCTTCTTTTCCACCCCCACCTAAGGTGCATTTATTTAGCTATATTATTTTATTTTGCACGGGGCAGCCGCACGCTGTAAGAATTCTTTCTGAAGCCGAACGTTTTCATTTTATTTATTTCATTTTGCCCAAAAGCTCCTTTAGAAACAAGCAATGGGCTGCATTTAATCAAGGCCTACATGTCTTATCTCCGTTTCACCAGGCAATGAACAACGCCAGAAATTGAATTATATGGGTGTGTGCAGCTTGCAGCGGAGGTGGGGCGGGGAGGCTCTGTGAAATGGGATGCTTTGTGCGAACAGGGAGGGCATGTGGAAAAAGAAGACAGGCAGGACAGACACTTTGCTAGATGGCCACAATATAGCAAAGAGCACTCAGCTGAAGGTCACAGCCCACAAAGGAGGCCAAGGTTCTGTTCTTCCTTGGCCACTTGGGACAAGGAAAGACAGAAAGAAAGAAAGAAAGGGAGGGAGGAAGGAAGGAAGGAAGGAAGGAAGAAGAAATGTGGAACATGATTTGCAGCTTGGCAAAGACCTAGGGATGTTTTTAACAGCAACTTGCCAATCTCTGCATAAATTCCACCCAAAGAATTTGAGATTAAAAGCACGAGTTAAAACAAAACTGGCAGTTTTACGGTCAAACTAGAGCTTAAAGGGAGATATTCTCAATGAATACTAAGTGCAAGCCACAGTTAAAAAATGACAGTGCTATGAAATATGTCATTTACTACATGGAACAACACCTCTACAAAAACAAACAACTGTGATTAATGCATTGTCTAGTTTGACCCTTGCCCATCCAGATGTCCTTTGAGTGCTTAGCTTTCAAAAATCTTTCAGGAATCTGTATATAAATCCCTCTCTATATAACCAAGTCTATGGTGCTGATTTAGGGCTATTACCTCTTGGTTTTGATAGACTCCAACTTTTAACAGATATATGATACATGACTACTACATGGTCCTCTCCTTGCTGGGGGAACATCTATTAAATTTAATAGATGGTTGGGAATTTTGTGTGATTCATTTTTATATGAAGTTATCAAAACCAGCCATTTCTTCACAAACAGAATGGAAAGAACTTAATATATATATATAAAATGAATGTGGGGGAAGCAAACTGTCCATCAGTGTTCTAGGAAGCAAATCCGAAGCAAAAGCTTTTATGAGGTGAAAGAGGATTATTTGATCTGTTCTGGCCCACTGGTGTTAAGAAACTTTTTCAGCCAGGCTTTCTGTGATATATCCTTTTCTTTTTGGCCAAACATAGGCTGGATAGAGATGGGGTGAGAAATTGAAAAGGTTGATTGGAGAATTCTGGGGAGCTGTGGTCCAAGACATACTCCTTTCCCTGAGAGTGAAGCTGTGTGACTATGCATTTGTCGTGCTCTAATTCTTACAAGCAGAGTAGAGCATCCTCATCTGGAGTCTACTTCTGTCCTTTGACCGGCTATCTCCCCTTCCCCAAAATCCAAGCACTCAGTATAGCAAGGGGCAATGGAAGCAACAGCAAACTTTTCCCTGGTTGGGACTTCAACCAGAACTGCAAGTCTACCAAAGTCCTATCTTTGCCACAAACTCAGTTAGTGGCCTTAAGCAAGACATTCACTTAGCCTCAGTCTTTCTCCACCAGCAACATGGGGACTGATAAAAAAATTGACCTATTCTACAAGGTTGATGTTAAGGATTATAATATAATAACAAGGGGGCCCTTTTGAAAATGGATTACAGTAAAATAATTATGAGGATTATATAATTCTAAGAATTACAACAGAATAATTACAAGGATTATAACAAAGCAACAAGCGGACTGCTTTGAACTCTGAACACCATGCAAGTTGTTGATTTTATTCATAAGCAAGATTGACATAGCACAGTTGTTCTGGCCCCTATTCAACTGTACCAGTCATTATTTGATTGTCACTTGTAGGAAATCCAATCTTGCCAGCATTTCAGAGAAAAAGTAAAACTGTATTTCTCAGAAGTGTTTTTAAACCTGGGATGAACAGAACAAAATATTCTGGGTTTGGGGGATTTTTTTAAAAAAAACTTGAGCACTAAGACCAACCAGCTGGAGCCACATGCAAAATAGTGGCTCGTATCAGAGAGAATACTGTAGGATAGGGATTTCTAGAAGTTTGGGAGTCATATACATCCACCCCCTGACTTTGAAGGGCTCCATCTGCTCCTGCAACTGCATCATCCAATTCATTTTCTTACAAAGTATTTTTAAAAGTGGAAAAAAAAATCCCATTACATCATCTAATGGCCATTTTTTAAAAAAGGAGGGAGATACAGGAGTGTCAGCCGTTTTAATAACTGCTACAACTGTAGTCTGTTGGTTTTGGAAGCAAGTATATAGTATTATACTCATCATACTTTTTCATGCAACTTCTATAAATCTGCATGATTGGCAAATGCAGAGCGGTTTCCCTCCTCCTGATCACTTCCATTCGGTTTTTCCTTGGAAGTGTAGTTCTGGTCACTTGTGGTTTTGAAGATAGCAAAAAACAAAAAAACCCAAAACAACAACAACAGCAAAAAAACACAAAACAAAATCCCAACAAAAGCACACACTGCATTTTCAGAGTGAGCAAAGCCCATAGCAATGTCTGAGGGGAGGTTAAAACTATTAATAGTGCCTACCCCTGCCTTAAACATGCCCTCCCTCCTTTCTCCCTCTCTCTCCCCTTCCCTCACTCTAGATATTTCCCTTCCTTGGCTCTGACCACCCGGCTGCTTTTCCTGCCCTCTCAGGGACACAGCTTACCGCAGAGTTGAATCTTAGGTGACAAATATTACAAGAGATGAATTGTTTTTTCTTGAGAGTGTTAGGTACGCCAAAAGTGTGGTTGATCACTGCTTTCTGTACCGGATCCATCTGGAAAGGAAAAAAGTGGAGAAAAGGAGTCTCAATGAGCTGATGCTTCAAAGACCCCGGCAGGCTAGGAGAAGGGATTTCAACGTTTAGAAACTCATTCCTCAATTACTTGTTTTCTGAAGTGCATATGTCCCTCTTCAGACCCCCAGGATGTTGTGGAAGAGGCACTGTTCTTAAGGAGCATGTCGTTCCACCCTAATGCTGGCCATTTTGTTTTGGGGCTCTGTGTTGCCCAATGTGTACTAAGAGTATGCCATAGACTCCATATGTGGAGAGCTTTTTAGACTACAAATCCTGAACAGGATCCTGTTGGGATATGGTAGAATTTGAAGTAAAAAAAAACACAGCAGTTTCCACAAACTCTGTCTGTAGTATCCTCGGGGTTTCTGCAGCTGTTCCCTGCTGAGGAAATAAGAGTATTTCAGGGGAATTCGTACAATCAGAGGCTGAGAATATTACTTTTTGGAAACTGCCAGATGACATTGTTCATTGTTCAAAAACGTAGCATGTCCATGCTCTGTGTCAGACATTACTGATCTTCTAACTGGGAAAGTAACAACATGGCCTTGAAGAGTGTTTCGCAGAACACTGGAAACTACTGATGTGGAAGATAGATCTCATAGTTACACCATGTCAGGAAACAGAACTTGGACATTTAATACTTCCATGGCTATCTGGTAACTTCAGACCAAACAGGGTTGGATATACTGGGGTTGGATATACACCCTCTACTGCTCCAGTTTTCTGTTTCATTTCTTCAGCCTTTGCTCTTAGAAGATGTCAAAAAGGCACAATAATTTTGAATAAAATGGCTGCATTAAGTAATGCAGAAAAAAGGTTAAAGCAGGGAGCAAGGATGTAAAAAAGGGAAAAGTGATAAAAAAAAGAGAGAGAGAGGCTAAAGTAAAAATAATCTGTGTATTTCAGCACAACCATAATCTATAATACAAACATTGTTCTTTTAGCCCTGTGGCTCTGGAAGATTATTTTATCCAAGTCTGGCTGCCAGGAAGGAGGAGGAGAGAGAGACTGACGTTTGAAGATGATCGTGTTTCTCAGCAAGGCTATTTAGTTGTCCAGACAGGTGCATCGGTCTAGCAAGCAAAGCCTGCAGACAAGGGAATAATTATCTGGACCCCTAAAAAATATCCCCAAAGGCAGTGGGATTGGCAACAGAATAAGATTAATGAAGTGGTGCCTTCTCATGCTTGTGATGAAATTTTTACTCACTCATTTGGAATAAGAATGAACACATATAGACAAGAGATTCTGGAGCCACAGATAATGATGATAGTGGTGGTGGTGGAAGCTTTGAGTGATGAAATAAATCTTCAGCTGCACCCCTAATGGCCTTGTGTTCAAGACAGTATAAATCTGGTACAACGATGCAGTATGGAGCAAAGTGTGTTTGCATGCATGTGATGGTGGTAGTGTAACAAGGGGGAATATGTGTAAATTATCTTTCAAGCTGGACCTCAAGGATATATCATCACCATCATCATCGACAACAACCTCATCATCAAAACCTCTTAGCCATTCTGATGGGGGATTCTTGAAATAGTGCAAAAAACAATGTCCCCCAAATCCGTGGAAAATCTTTTAATAAATCATGGCTAATAGGTATTGATAGAACTTACCCTCCATGAATGTCTTTTTTCCCTTTTAGAATATATATAGTACCTTCAACCAGGGCTGCTTCTGTGAGTGGAAGCTAAGATACTACATGTGTTTATTCAGAAATGGCCTCCTTTATCATCAGTGGGGCTTATTCCCAATTACATAGATGTGCAGCCAAATAATTATCATGACAGTAAGTAGCTATTACAATATGTTCGTATTTTATGTTCATTATTACTTTTTGTAAAGTGTAGTCATCATCTTTCCAGAGAATGAGGGGTATGACTTTACCTGTTTCCAAACCAAGCAGGTGTAAAGCTAGCAATAAAGCAGGGGCACAAAACCTCTGGAGTTGGGGGCCTCAAATCCTCTCTCGTACTCACTAGATGCTGCCATAATGAGATCCATAATTTGCCCCGGAAATTCAGAGGCAAATTAGTGGCATGGCAACAAAAGTATCCATTTTCTCCAGTTTCATTTAAAAAAAAATCTTGCAAGAGCACATTCATTCATTCATTCATTCATTCATTCATTCATTCATTCATACTTCCTTCCAGGAGACTTTAAAACAAAATGCATGCTCCCTATAGCTCTGTTTTAAAATGGAACTGAAGGTGCCAATTTTCTTCCAAAATTTAACAGTGCAAAACCTGTATGGAGAGGAAAATGGTAGAGGCTGCAAAAACTGAGGTGTGTGTGAACACATGTAGCACACAGGGTGCATATTGCCTACCCTGCAATAAAGCAATGACTATCACAAGTTAGCACATGAAAGAAATCTGTAAGAAACATTTTAGCAATTCAGGTTAAAATGTCCAGTGAATAAGGAGAACTGTTATCTTGAAATCTAACACTGAGATAGACAGGTAGATTGAAGCAGTAGTATTATACACTGAAGGCTCTTCCCAAGGATTCTACAGTATGCCAAAATGAGATCTGGAGCAAGACTTCATTAATCGCAAATAGGCTTGCTGTGAAGTTGTATCCTTTTCCCATCACGTCTATAACTGCTGCCAATTTTGTTACCTCATGCTGATTTCGACAGAACAAGGCATCCCACTCAAGATAACTGGATTCATCATGTGTTCCAGTAGGTTTATAGGGTGGTTATAGAATGGTTATAGCTTGTCTGAAAGGAGCCCAAATTCTGCACTTGAAAAGTAAGTTCCTAGCTTTCGATCCCCTGAGAAAGCTAGCTGGCAAAGGATCTTACTTTTCTCAGCACTGCCTGTATGTGAAAGATGCTTGAGAATTCCAACACCACCTTTTTTCAAATGCACAAGCATACACTATTTCCCTTTCTTCCTATATACAGTATATGCAGGCTCATAAATATAGATCCTGTACACACTTTCTCCACCAATCTCCATCCAGGCAGTCATGTTAACCAGACAAATAACAAAATTGCCTACTATAATAATAATACAGAAATTATCTGTTGTAGATTAGAGGAAACACGATTGTATTTGGTGAGAAAAAGAAATGTAACCAATCAGCTAAAAGGTATAGAGATTTCTTGCTCAGTGACAAGTGAAGGGTTAGAAGCAATGGGACTTTGTATCAGGTCATACAGTACATCTTACTGTATTGTATCCAATACCTTTGGCCGGCAGGATAAACTAGCTTCTCTGTTTATTAGATAATGAAAACTAAACATCTCAGTCGTGGTTTTTCTGGGTCCATTTGAGGAATGCAGTTCATTGCTAAAGTATATATACTTATAGGAGTGAATAACAAGCAAAAGTATTAAAGCAAAATATTCCAGCTTCCACCTTCTTCAGTTCTATCTATCTATCTATCTATCTATCTATCTATCTATCTATCTATCTATCTATCTATCTATCTATCTATCTATCTATCTATCTATCTATCTATCTATCTATCTATCTATCCATCCGTCCGTCCGTCCGTCCGTCCGTCCGTCCGTCCGTCCGTCGATCGGTCGGTCGGTCCGTCGGTCGGTCGGCATGCCTGCCTGCTCGTCCGTCCGTCCGTCCGTCCATCCGTCGGCATGCCTGCCTATGAAACTCAAGAAGTTTCATATATATATATATATACACACATACATGCACACATACAATGAAACTTCTTGAGTTTCATAGGCAGGCAGGCAGGCAGGCATGCCGACTGACCGACAGACACATACATGCACACATACACACACATTCCAGAAAAAAGTTCAGAATTCACCTCAAAGAGGAAAAAAACCCTATGTCTAAAAGCCTTTTAACAACCCAGATGGATTGCAAATGCATTTCCTCTCCTTAAAATGGTGTCTTCCTACCATTTTATCCGGTTCTTGATATTCCTTCCGACTGACAGAAGGATATTCCTACCTCCCCAGCTCAGCAAGTGAACTCTCTGAAACCTTGGGAGCATATTTGGGAGCTAATGAATACCAAGAGTAAGTGAGGGGGAAAACTTTGCTTTATAACCAATTTGTATTCTCAGGTTTCTTCTGTTTCATCCCTGGGATGTTCTCACTGATATATAAATAGAGATTGTTGCACTGAACTTCCTGTCAAGACTCTGGAGGTCAGAGATGGGAAAGCACAAAGCAAGAGGGGGTGGGTGGGAGGGAAGGAAAAACTGCGATGTTTCGCAAGTGGCTGTTAAATCTTCAAAGAATTTACACATTTCGGAGGATTTCAGGACACCTCCTAAGTAGGGAATTACTGTACCTGTTTGGATAAGAACCACTGTCTATATAATTTCAAACTGGAAGAGTTATCTAGGTTTCCAGTGGGTAGCATAACAACCCCGAAGCGGACTGTATACCAAACTGAAGCAGATCAAACAAACATCAGTATTATTTCCATTTTAAAAAAAAATGCCCAGAGGCTGGCATTAAAGAAAGAGGAGGAGCGGAGGGAAGAAGGAGCAGTAGCAATGCAAAGTCTGGAATAAGGAATTTGCCATGCAGGCTTCCCAGTTCTGAATATCTGAGCCACGTAAAAATCAAAAACTAATCCTCTTTGAAGTTCAGACGCAGCCTGCAACTGGTTTAGTTCCAGCCCTTTGTGCTGCCACATTATCCCTTTCCATCTGCTTACCTGGTGGCAGTGACAGGGAGAAGGGCACTGTGGCATTCATTAATCTTTGCTTTAGCATTGTGGGCTCCAGGAGCCCTGGGAAAGCTGATCCTACACAAGGACCCAGAAGCCCTGGGAAAATATTGTAAACGAATGTTCTTGCAGCTGCCCTTTTTGCAGTGTTTTGAGAATTATCAAGACTGCAGCCTCAGCCTTTCTCACCACTGCTAGGAAAAAGAAAGATCTGGAATAAAGGAAAGGGCACAGCAGAACGGTTGTTATTGTGACATCAATTTATAGCAATGCTTATAGGCTTTTCAAGGTAAGTGAGATATTTAAGGAATAGTTTTA